TGAATGATGCAGGAAACATCAAAAGAAGATAGATAAAATACACAGAATCATTGTATCAAAAAGAAATGGGAAGTAGTATATGACCAAAATCCATTGGAACTGAAGGAAGAAGTCCAAGCTGTACTAAGGACTTTGGCAAAAAAATAAGGCTTCAGCAATTGACAGAATATCAACTGATGTGTTTCAGCAAGAAAATGTGACCTTGAATATGTTCATTCATTGATGCCAAGAAATTTGGAAGACTACTACCTGGTCAACAGATTGGAGGATATCCATATTTGTTTCCATTAAAAAAATAAAAGATCATTCCAACAGAGTTCAGAAATTCTTGAACAAAATTATTAATATTACAAACAAATGAAATTCTTCTAGAGATTATGCAAAGATTATTGAAACAGTAAAAACACTGGTAGTGAATAAACTCTCACTGGAGTCAGAAGAGGCCATGGAAAAGGGATATTATTGTTGATGTCAGATGGACTGAATGCAAAGGTTGTTGTTGCTGCTGCTACTGCTGCTGCTGTTATTAGTATGTGCCATCAAGTCACCTGCACCTAACAGTGACCCTATGTACAACAGCTCAGAAGCCTCCCCTATTCTGAGCCAGTGTCATTATCTCTGACATACCTACCCCTATTACTCCAATTACTGAGTCAGTGCATCTCATCTGAGGTCTTCCTTCTTGTGCTGTCCCTCCACCCTTCCAAGTATGATGTCCGTCAGCAAGGAATGGTCCCTCCAGGTAACATGCCCAAAGTATGTGAAACAGAGCTCCAAAATCCTTGCCTCAGAGTGCAACAATGAATGAATGGAAACTCTAAGTCTCTGTAAACTTTCATCAAAATTAATTAAAAAATAAATCCTCGCCTCCAAGGAACAACTTATTTTCATCATCTCCAGAAAGGACAGACCTTTTTGCTCTCTTAGCAGTCCATGTTATGTTCAATACTCTTCTCAGGCACCACAACTCAAAGGCATTAAATCTTCTTCTATCATCCTTAGTCATTGTCTGATAACAGCAAGTAATTGTAAACACCATGCCTTGGATCAATCCAACATAGTCTCTAGACTAACATCGTTGCTCTTCAGTACTATGGAGAGGTCCCTGACTGCAGATTTTCCCAATGCAATTTGTCTTTTGATTTCCTGACTGCTGGTGCAAAGACTGTTGATTGTGAAACCAAGCAAGCTGAAATTGTTAACAATCTCAATCTCCTCTCCATCTGTCATGGTGTTTCCAATTGGCCCAGTGGTGTGAATCTTTGTTTTCTTGCTGTTGAGCTTCAATTCATAGTGAATTGAAGTCCTTGATCTTCTGCGGCGAATGCCTCAGGTCCTCCTCAGCTTCAGCAAGCAAGGTTGTGTCATCTGCATAACGTGGTTTGTTTATGAGTCTTCCTCCAATCCTGATGCCCATTCCTCCTCAATAAATCCTCACAAACAATCCGTTCAGGATGTAAATTGAACAAATATGGAGATAAGATTATCTCTTGTGTACACTTGTTCTGATTTTGAGCCATACAGTGTTTCCCTGTTCTGTTCTAATGACTGCTTTCTGGTCCAAGTATAGGTTTTACATGAAAACAATTAAACGTTCTGGGATTCACAATTTGTTGTGATCCACACAATCAACTGCCTTTGCAAAATCAATGAAACACAGACAGACATCCTCTCTGCTTTCATCCAACATCCATCTAACATGGGGTATAATGTCCCTAGTGCCACAACCTCTTCTAAACCCAGCTTGCAGATCTGACAGTTCTCTGTTGATCTACTGTTCCAGTTATTTTGGGTAATTTCTAGCAGGATCTTGCTTGCAAATGATATTGATGATATTGCTCAATAATTTCCATATTCTGTCAGATCACCTTTTTTAAAAAAAATGGGAATAAATATGGGTCTCTTAAAATCAGACCAGGTAGTAGTCCTCCAGATTTTGTGGAACAACCTGGTGAGCATGTCCAGAGCAGCATCTGATTGTTGAAATATGTCAATTGGTATGTCATCTATTCCTGGGCCTAGTTTTTTGACAATTCCCTCAGAGTGGCCTGAACTTCTTCCTTCATCAACACTGCCTCTTGATCATATATTGTTTCATGAAATTCTTCTGTGTCAGCCAATTATTTTTGGTATCGTGACTCTGTGTTTCTTGGGAGCAGCTAGTGGCCTTGAAAATGCATGCCTTCAGGATTGCAGCCCAGCTTCTTGACACTTGGCCACCCAACCACAAATAACTGGGAATAAACCTAACTAGAGGCACAAAAGACATTTAGAAAGAAAAATACAAAACACTCCTGTGAGAAAAAATAAAAGACCTAAATAAATGGGAAAATGTTTTCCATTTATGGATAGGAAGCTACAATATAGTAAAAATGACAACCTTACCAAAAGCAAGCTACATGTGCAATGCAATCCCAATGCAGATACAAAATTCATTTTTCAAGAAGATCAAAGAGGCTGTATTCAAGTTTATTTGGAGTGCAAAGAAACCATGGAAAAAGAAAGCATTTATGAAACACAAGACTGAAGTGGGAGGTTTAATACTTCCTGATCTCAGAAACTGCTATATAGCTGTAATAACCAAAACAACACCAGTACAATGATAGTCACATAGACCAATGGAACAGAATCAAGATTTTAACCCATCTACCTATAGTCACTGTACCAGAAGGAATTGGCTGACATAGAAGAATTTCATAAAATAACGTATGAACAAGAGCCTGTGGTGATGAAGGAGCACATTCAAGTTCTCCAAAAGAAAGAAGTGGCAAAAAACAAGGCTCAGGGAG